ATGGTGAGCACTGTGAATTGTGTAAGACTGATGAATCACAGACCTGTACCTCTGAAACAAATAATACATTATATGTTAAAAAAAAAAAAAGAAGATAGTAGGAAGGGAAAAATGAAGGGGGGGAATCAGAGGGGGAGACGAACTATGAGAGACTATGGATTTCTGAGAAATAAACGAGGGTTTTAGAGGGGTGGGGGATGGGTTAGCCTGGTGATGGGTATTAAGGAGGGCACGTACTGAATGGAGCACTGGGTGTTATTAAGATAACATAATAAAATTAAATTAAAAAAACAGAAACTTGTCCAATGTTAATCAGTTGGTAAGCAGCAGAACTGAGATTTAACCAGGTGGTCTGGTTCTAGAGGTTGCAATCCTTACCTCTACAATACTGGGCCTCTGATCATTTTTTATCTTATCCGGCTAATATTTCAGGTACATTAGCACCTTAAGAACTTCTGTGTAACATCCTGAAAACCTGAGCTCCCATTTATAACTTTGATACTATGAAGAAATGAGTTTCAAGTCCAAATGACATTTTTCCTAATTAGCTTAGCACCATCTATGAACTATCTTAAATATACCATGATCTATATTCTTATAAAATGTAAAATGAAAGAACTAATTCTCAGTGGTAGATAAAAGGTGAAGAAATGGTGATGATACAGTCTTGGACTACATGCATATCTTTGGTCTGCCATTGTGTGACACTAGAAAAAATTAAGTTCCTGAGGTCTTGATTTCCTTTTTATAAAATAAAAAAGATCACGTTAAATAAAAAATAAGACATGTCTGGCCCTGTGCTTTTACATCCTGCAATCTTTTCCACTGGGCTCATGCTTGATCTCAGAACAATTATTTTTTCCACAGGGCATTGTAGGTAGCTGCTAACCATTCATTCGTTCAGAAATGTAAAGTGCAATGAAACCTATTTCCGCTCTTAGAATATATGTTCTTTAAATTCCCTCTTAGTTCTACAAAATCAAACCCTGAGATACAACAAAAAAGTATGAGCATGTATAATATGTTGGACAATACAGTTTAGAGCCTGATTTTGTCTATATTGTTACAGAAAAGACATCTTAGTGTCTATAAGATTCTATAATTGCTTCCAGAGAAAGATAAAGGGATTAGCCCATCAGGAAGTTGATTATATGCACACATACATTATTACTGTTTAGAGTTTTATTAGCCTAGCAATTATACATTTTAAGATAGGAATGAAAATACTGGTTTGGTCTGATGCCCCATGTTCCATAGAACTGTCTGCAACTTATGGAATGGCTTTTAAAATATAACTCTCCCTTTTGGTATCTTTTAGTTCTTCAAGATCAAACTGCTTCTATATTAGGCTAATTGGGAGTATTGGGGAACAAGTCTAATAATCAGGGCATGAATGCTTTTGCACATACTCACACAACCTGGAGAGCTGCTCTTGGATTTGGTAGCAAGGGCTGTGCACATAGGACCTAGGGCATAACTAGCTGCTCGGGGAAGCAGTCTGGACACGCCAAAACTAGGATTCAACCCGGGGCTTGTGTTAGAGATCTACACACGGAGAAGGGTAGGAGGGATTGGTGCAGGTAGTAGCCAGTTAGATACTAAAATAACAGACAGACAAAATATACCTTAAGGAAATTTTGCAAAGCTTCTTCTACAGTTGAGGATGGTATTTTTCCAAACAGAGTAGCAGCCATTTTTTTCTCAATCCAGCTCAGTTTCGAGACCTGCAAACATGGAGGCGACATCATTCTTAGAAAGTGGTTCCTCTTTTGAAAGAATCATCTCTCCTCAATTAGACGTGTGTGTGTAGGTGTATATGTATGTATATGCATAGAATATATAAATATAAACATATCCATACATAATATACATGACAGAGGTCATCTTTATGGTATTAATATTTTACCTTCCTTTTTTTATAGTTCTAATAAACTATGAGCTCTAAAAGCACTGGTTACCAAATCAATCTGAAATACTCATGATAAGATTTGTGTTCAATCAGAGAAAGGGATGGGGAATAATGCTGATCCTGTTTGTTTATGTGATTCAAGATTCTGAGATGACCACACAGTATTTCTTTGCACAGAGTTTCTTTGCACAGAGTGGAGGAGACCCCAACTTTGCTTCCTTCCTGCCAACCTGACCCAGAACACAGCATCTCAGAAGTGTAAATAGAAGAAGGATTCTTAACCCAGAGGGAGTATAGATTGAGGGCCCAGTATACATATTTACAATCCAGGAGAAAATTTTTTTAACCAGCAACCACCAAAATTAAATTTCATATTATCATTTATTTTTTGCTTCCTTTTATCCCCCATTTTAATTCCAGTATAGTTAACATACAGTGTTTTATTCTTTTCAGGTGTACGATATAGTGATTCAACAATTCCATATATTACTCAGTGCTCTACAGTAGAAGTGTACTCTTCATCCCCTTCATCTATTTCACCCACCTCACTTCTGATAACCATCTATTTGTTCTCTGTAGTTAAGAGTCTGCTTTTTGGTTTGTCTCTTTTTAGTTCCCTTGTTCATTTGTTTTGTTTCTTAAATTCCACATATGAGTGAAATCATATGGTATTCGTCTTTCTCTGACTAACTTATTTCGCTTAGCATTATAGTCTAGGTCCATGTTGCTGCAAATCGCAAAATTTCATTCTTTTTTATGGTTGAATAATATTCCATTATGTGGTATAATATACCACTTCTTTATCTATTCATCTATTGATGGACACTTAGGTTGCTTCCATAATTTGGCTATTGAAAATATGTTACAATAAACATTGAGGTGCATGTATCCCTTTGAATTAAGGTTTTTGTATTCTTTGGGTACTGAGTAGTGCAATTACTAGATCATAGGGTAGTTCTATTTTTAATTTTTTGAGGAACCTCTGTACTATCTTCAGTGTCTGCACCAGTTTGCATTCCCACCAATAGTGCATGAGGGCACCTATTTCTCTACATCCTCGTCAACACTTGTTATTTCTTGTGATTTTGATTTTAGCCATTCTAATAGATGTGAGGTATCTCACAATGAGAGACGAGATATCCCATTGTGATTTTGATTTGTATTTCCATGATGATGAGTGATGTTGAGCATCTTTCCAAATGTGTCTGTTGGCCATCTGTATCTCTCTTTTTTTTTTTTTTAAGATTTTATTTATTTATTTGACAGACAGAGATAGTGAGAGCAGGAGCACAAGCAGGGGGAGTGGGAGAGGGAGAAGCAGGCTCCCCACTGCGCAGGGAGCCCAATGTGGGGCTTGATCCCAGGACCCTGGAACCATGATCTGAGCTGAACGCAGATGCTTAAAGACTGAGCCACCCAGGTGCCCTGGCCATCTGTATTTCTTCTTTGGAGACATGTCTGTTCATGTCTTCTGCCCATTTTAAATTGGATTATTTGGTTTTGAGTGTTGGGTTGTATCAGTTCTTTATGTATTTTAGACATGAGCCCTTTATTGGATATGTTATTTGCAAATACCTTCCCCATTCAGTCTTTTAGTTTTGTTGGTTGTTTCCTTCCCTATGCAGAAACTTTTTATTTTGATATAGATCCAATAGTTTATTTTTGCTTCTGTTTTCTTTGCCTCAGGAGACACATCTAGAAAGATATTGTTATGGCCAATGTCAGAGAAATTACTATCTGTGCTCCCTGCTAGGATTTTTATGGTTTCAGGCCTCACATTTAGGTCTTTAGTCCATTTTGAGTTTTTGTGGTATATGATGTAAGAAAGTGGTCCAGTTTCATTCTTTTGCATGTAGCTGTTCAGTTTTCCCAATATCATTTGTTGAAGAGACTATCTTTTTCCCATTGTATATTCTTGTCTCCCTTTGTCGAAGATTAATTGACCAAGTAATTGTGGGTTTGCTTCTGGGCTTTCTATTCTGTTCTATTGATCTATGCATCTATTTTTGTGTGAGTAACATACTGTTTTGTTTAATACAGCTTTGTAATATACCTTGAAACCTGGAATTGTGATACTGCCAATCTTGTTTTCCTTTTTCAAGATTGCTTTGGCTATTTGGGTGGTTCCATACAAATTTTAGGATTGTTTGTTCTAGTTCTGTGAAAAATGCTGTTGGTACTTTGCTAGGGATTGCATTAAGTCTATAGATTGCTTTGGGTAGTATAGACAGTTTGACAGTGTTTGTTCTTTCAATCCATAAGCATGGAATGTCTTCCTATTTCTTTGGGTCATCTTTAATTTCTCTCATCAATTTTTTATAGTTTTCAGAGTACAGGTCTTTTTACCTCTTTGGTTAAGTTTATTCTTAGGTATTTTATTATTTTTGTGATTATAAATGGGATTGTTTTCTTAATATCTCTTTCTGCTTTTTAGAAATGCAACAGATTTCTGTACATGGGGATTTTGTATCCTGTGATCTTACTGAATTCATTTATGAGTTCTAGTAGTTTTTTGGTGGAGTCCTTAGGGTTTTCTATATATAGTATCATCTCATCTGTGAATAGTGAAATTTTTTACTTCTTCCTTACCAATTTGGAAACCTTTTATTTCTTCCCCTTATCTGATTGCTGTGGCTAGGACTTACAGTACTATGTTGAATAAAAGTAGTGAGAATGGGCATCCCTGTCTTGTTCCTGATCTTAGGGGAAAAGCTCTGTTTTTCACCATTGAGTATAAAACATTAGCTGTGGATTTTTCATATAAGGCCTTTATTATGTTGAGGTATGTTCCCTCTAAACCAACTTTGTTGAGTGTTTTTATCATGAATGGATATTGTACTCTGTCAAATGCTTTTTCTGCATCTATTGAAATGATCATATGGTTTTTATCCTTTCTCTTAATAATGTGATGTATCACGCTGATTGATTTGCAAATGCTGAACCACCCTTGCATTCCAGGAATAAATCCCACTGATCATGGTGAATATGATTTTTTGAATGTATTGTTGGATTTGTCTTGCTAATATTTTGTTGAGGATTTTTGCATCTATGTTCATCAGAGATATTGGCCTGTACTTCTTTTTTGTTGTTGTGTCTTTAACTGGTTTTGGAATCAGGATAATGCTTACCTATTAGAATGAATTCGGTTTTCCTTCCTGTGCTATTTTTTAGAAAAGTTTGAGAAGAACAGGTATTAGCTCTTCTTTAAATATATGATAGAATTCACCTGTGAAGACATCTGGACTTTTTTTGTTGGGAGTTTTTTGATTACTGATTCAATTTCATTGCTGGTAATTGGTCCGTTCAAATTTTCTATTTCTTCCTGTTTCAGTTTCAGTAAGTTTTATGTTTCTAGGAATTTATCCATCTCTTCTAGGTTGTCCAGTTTGTTGGCATATAATTTTTCACAATATTCTCTTATAATCCTTTTTCTGTGGGGTCAGTTGTTATTTCTCCTCTTTTTGTTTCTGATTTTGTTTATTTGAGTCCTTTTTTTTTTTTGGATGAGTCTGGCTAGAGATTTATCAATTTTGTTTATCTGTTCAAAGAACCAATCCTGATTTCATTGATCCATTCTATTTTTTTTTTTTTTAGTCTCAATATCATTTATTTCTGCTCTAATCATTATTTCCTTCCTTCTGCTGTATTTGGGTTTTGTTCTTCTTTTTTCTAGCTCTTTTAGGTGTAAGCTTAGGTTGTTTGAGATTTTTCTTATTTCTGGAGGTAGGCCTGTGTTGCTATACACTTCCCTCTTAGAATCACTTCTGCTGCATCTCAAAGATTTTGGATTATTGTGTTTTCATTTTCATTTGTCTCCATGTGTTTTTTTATTTCTTCTTTGATTTCTTGGTTGATCCATTCACTGTTTAGTAACATGTTATTTAACCTCCATGTAGATGTGGTCTTTCCAGATTTTTTTCTTTTAAGCCTAAACAAATAATGTACATTCAAGCCCCAGACTCATGTGAGGTTGGGTCAATGGTTTTTAAGCTTGAGGGGTCTTCTACCTTAATGAAGACTCAGATTCCTAATATTTAAAACTGGCATAATAAAAACTGCTTACAGGGATGTTTTAAGGATTTGACACACAGTTGATACATAGCAGGTGTTCAATAAAAGAGCTTCCTTCTCCATTCTTAATCCTCAAACCTCAATTAAAAAGCTTCTTCTTTTGCTTATGCTAATTTTTTCATTCAGAAATAGCATTTCTCTTCAGAATAATTTTTCATGCATCTCTTAAGATAGATTTTCACATTCTGTTAATTCTCTATAAACTAACGTCATTTAAGACACTGGATCTTAGACTAGCTAGCTGCCTTGATTTATTTCTATGTTTCATGTGTCTTTCTAAATTCAGTTCTTTGAAGACAAGAACAGTGGGCACATAATTTATGCTCAACATGCTCTGATAAATGAAAAAGTCCTCTCACAAGACAAAGAGTAGTACACATGTGTGTAGGTGGCTGATCACCAACTGAGAGCACAGAGGGGACATATGATTGCTGCCAGGGGAAACAGAGAGGTGGTCAGGTGAAAAATACAGATATATATGTGTGTGTATATACACACACACACACACATACACACACACATATATATACAAAATCATATACTGTATGTAACACAGTATATAAACAAATCAATCATAAACTCATAAAATATGTACTGATTTTATCATTTTCCCTACAGTAGGCACTAGGTAAAACACTTAAAGAATAAGTGTTCATTGGAAATATATCCTGTAATCATAGTATATTTAAACAAGATTTATAGATCAAAACATTCAACTCACAGTATAACAGTATCTTCCTTTGAGGTAATACAAAAAGGGTTCTTCAGGTAAAAATTGGATTGCTTTATCTAGATGTTCCTGAAAAAAAATCCAAAACAAATACCATCACTCAGATTCCAGGCAGCATTGAATGGAAGTATGCCTAGTAAGTTCAAAGGGGCTTTACACTGTTGTTTGGTTCTCCTCCTCAATCCGTATCATTAATACAAGTAAGTCTTATCCATAATTCAATTATCAGGAATGACTGCTCACAAGTAGAACCAGATTGTGACTATGATTTAATTAAACTATGGATAATTTAAAGGCAAATGTCACTATAAAAATAGAAAACATCCGAGTGACATTTTTGTCTTCCCATGCCTTGCCTAGCTAATGCTTACTATCAGGAAGCATGTTTGCAAATATCAAGTGATGGGGATATAACGGGGGAAAGAATAGCAGAGCTAGGTGGTGGAGGAATCTACTCCTCTGACATTATTATAATTGTTATAGGGAGCTGGAAGGCAAACTCTGACCATTTATATTGAGCTATCAAAGCTAGAGGTACATTATAAATGATGTACATATACATTATTTATTTTATTCACTTATCATGTTAAGTTTAAGTCTTAGATTGGATTCTATTCCTCCCACCAAATCAATATGCAAGAAGTGTTAATTAATTAGTTCCAGTCATGTTGATGATGTTGGTGAGTTCATGACCAAAAGACTAATCCTCAGTCTTTGAAAAAGTAATACTCATCTACTATGTGACTTCTTTCAAGATCCAGAATAATAATAATCCTCAATCTCCCATATAGTTTCATTTTTTCACACAGTATGATGAAAAAACTGTCGCTTCATTTAAATAAAAAAGATAAATTCCTTAAGATTAATTCATTGAATAATTTGATTTATATCTTTTAAGGGAACATATAGCTACATTAAAATATTTTTAATATCAAGAAATACCTTGAAGCGATGTCCATAGTTGATTTTGTTTTGTAAGCCCTCAAACTCAGATACATAGCCACACAAAACCGCATACCTGAAAAGGGTAAAAACAGTGGATAGCGTGTTAACTTTTAATCAAATACCACCAAATGTAACATTTAAAAAATATCTCTAAAGCATTCATTAATATTTGAGAGAAGTAGTCATATAGATGCAAGGGCCCTAAAAATAAAAAACACCTGACATGAACATGAGGCCAGTTTCCTCACCTATAACTGGGGAGACTAACACCATCTATCTCATATGTATGTCGTGAGGGCAAAACACCCAAAACACATAAGTGTTTAGACTACTACCCGGCACATAGTGAGTTCCAAGAAATATGAGCTTCTGCTATCACCATCATCAACAGCAAAGTCACAAAGAGGCTCTCTGAAAAAGTCTAGTCACACAAGTAATAAATTGAAAAATATATTGTATCATGATATCCCTGTTCCTCCTTAATAAAAAGAAAAAGAAAAATTTCACAGCCTCCCTTAACGTCATCTGAAAACAAAAATAAATATCATGACTAAAACAATGTCAAAGGTAATTTCAGAATACACTTTTCCGAAAAATTCCCCATGACCTTCAATCTTTCCTTGGAAACACTGCATATTAGAATAGCGCATCACATTAATTGTTTACTTCCCCCCCCCCACGGGGAATACAAAAGTTACATCAATAATTATCTGACATAAATTGGGTGCAATATTTGTTCAGCAATTTGCTCACTCCAAAATCTGGGGATATATTACTTTTTATATCTAGAATGTTTCTGTCTGTGCAAAATCTCCAGAGTATTTCAGAGTGTTTCTGTCTGAGGCAAAATATTCATTTACCTAAATATTTCAAGAGTAAGTATTAATTTTTACTTGCATTGTCATAACTGAAATGAAAGATGTAATTTTGGGTATTTATCTCAATCATTTCTGTAGATAAGCATAACTTTCAAGTACAAAAATGAAGTGAACGATTTTCTTAATTTGGAACAGTAAGACCCTTCCTGAACACAAAAGATCACATAATTCACACAACTTACGATAACCAATAAAACAGTCACTTTTCAGTTATGACTAGTTTGACCTCTGAATTTTCAGTTTCTATATAATCAACCAAATCTGCTAGAGTACAAACAAGAATGATGACTAAACCAACCTATCAAAAGTGATCTGAGAACTTAACTAGATTAGGAGATACTACTACTCACAAATTCCATAATCAGACTACATTACACATACATCTCTGCACCCACCAGAGATCGAGCATGTAGGAAAAGACGACTGGAAAAAGACTCATGAGTTTCCTTGTAAAACTGCTATTGTCACCTCCAGCCTCACCATGTTCTTTTGAAATGCTCTCTGGCATTTTGTTCTATCATTCCTCCCGGGGAGTTCCAGAAAGTGGAGCAAAATTCCATACAACTACTTCCCCAAATTCTCCCATTTCTGTTATGGGCATTATCATTTTCTGACGCATTTGGACTTAAAACCTTAGGCCACTTTTTAAAAAAATAAGCTTTTATTTTAAAATAGCCTGAGATTGCAAAGATGTTACAGAGAGTTCCCATATACCCATATTGGGTTTTCCCTACTGTTTACATCTTACATTACTAGAGCACATTTATCACAAGTGTACCAATACTGTCAAACAATACTGATACATAATTTTTACAATGTACCAATAGTAGTACATTATTATTAACTAAACTCCATGCTTTATTCAAATTCTTGTCTGTTTTTCCCTAAGTTAAATGTTGACACTTCTCTCTCCATCCCTCCTTCCACATTTATCCCTATTAATTCACACATGTGAAAATCTTTTGAATTATTATTGTCATTCGTCATACATCCTCTTCCTCCTAGTTCTGTGTTACTTGCAACTTTTATAAACATACCTATTATATCTTTACCCACTGACAAAATTACGGAACACTCTAGTGTCTAAGATACAGATCTGAAACCCTAGAATCACCTCCAGCTTGACAATGATGTTGCCAACAGTTATTCTGTTGAATAGCTGAGGCTTGAACCCTTCTCTCTATGTGGGTAACCCAGAGGCTTGCCCACATTTTTACATCTTGTCCACAAGAATGTTATTGGTAAACTTACATGAATGCCTTGCTTAAATCCAGATATACTAGCTCAATTTCCCTACTCTACATGCTGGCAAAGAAATAAAAAACAAATCATGTCACATTTTTAGAAAAATCTGAAGGATCTATTTGAACTTTCTAATCCAGAGATTTATAGAACAACTCAAATATCTGTGCTGGAATCAAAAGAAAATAATGTATGTTCACTGATCTGGAGTGGTGGGATCCATTATCTACTGATGCTAAACGTCAGCGTCAGAATGACTTCGTGCGCAGCATTAGGCACAAACACTGCTCTGTCAGCAAACTCTCTTTAAGCTACTCTGAGTGAGGACCAAAGGGAAAAAAAAAACCCTAGGACTTATGAATACCATTATATGAAATATGAGTATTTCCCTTATAAATAATCAGTCTTAATGCTTTTCATAATCTTTTTTGAAGTCTGTTTCTTTCTTTTCTTTTTTTTTTCTGAGCTGAGATCAAGAATCGGATGCTTAACCGACTGAGCCACCCAGGCACCCCTTGAAGTCTGTTTCTTTAAAGTCTAAAATATTGTCTATCTTCCTACATATCCTAAGTTCAAAGTTCATCTGACCACTTTTTCTCAAAGGATCATCACTTCTTTTCTGGCGATCAGTTCCACTTATGTCTCTGTGTATCTCTGTGTTTTTGTTCTTTTATGCTGTTCATCTTTAAACATGTAATTTAAAATTTTATTTTGTGAACCATCTCAAGTGGACCGGAACTCTGAAGAACGTTAATTCACAATATGGTTTATTACCTCCACCTAGAGGTCATTCTCACCATACAGGCTTTGACAAAAATTCTGATTTTCTTTGCATTGATATTGAATATATCTTTAATAAATGACCAACATTCTTGTTTTAACAACTACTAAAATAACCCCATTAGTTTCCCTGCATACTTCTGATTCAGCACAAATGCTATTTATACTGTGGGAAAGCAGTGAAAAAATAATGTAATAGAAAAAATACTGAGTAAGAATAAAAGATCTGGTTTTTGTTTTTCTATTTATTGTGTGACTCTTGCATACCAATCAGTATATTCCCCCCATACACCCCCTAGACACACTACCTTATCTATAAAATGGAAACAGGTTGTTCTGTGACTCATGTGCTGTAAGGCATGTGGATATAATTTGTGAACAGTAGAGCACAACAAATATGTAAGACATTATTTGTAATTAAGGTCAGGCCTATTGTGCTAACAAACTGTAAATCCACAGTGACTTTACTCTCTTGGTTCTAGAAGTATTTTAGGCTGGGTACAACAAAAACAACAGAATTTGTAGCAAACATTTTAAGCTTTGGGGTCAGATAGTCAAGGTCGCAACTATTCAACCTCATTGCTATACACAAATGCACAGGTGTGGCTGGGCACCAATAAAACTACAAAAATAGGCAGTTGGCCCCGGACCGTAGTTTGTCATTTATGCTGAATGAATGAGAATATGTCTTAACATCCTGAAAAAGATTTTTAAATGATATTTTACTACAATTAATCATGGAATCAGTTAAGCTAAATTTTAACCACTGCTTCTCAAGTCAAAGTTTTAATTTCTCTTTTATCATGACCCTAAACCTCTCCTATGTAACTGAATGAAAACTCTTGTATTCACTACATACATTATACTACATTCTAAGAACTAAGATAAAATTGACATTTGAATTTGTTAAATTTTATCAACTGAATAGATTTTAACATTCTTTTTTAATTTAAAACTGATACTGAATAAGAAATCATGTGCAACACAATTGGATCATTACTCTGTGTGTGTGTGTGTATATGTAAGATTTAAACTTGGAGTCAAATACCATAGTTGTAAACAAGGCAATCCATTCACAACAAAAAGTGAAAGAAGATGAACAAAAGAAAAGTAGTCAGACTAGCGTACGACAGACTGGGTAGACTACTAGGGCAGAGTTATGTATAATTTCTTCTTACAAGATAGATTTCAAGGTACTTATGAAGCCCCCAGAGAAGACACAACATTGTTCCTCTATGAAAATTTGAAGCTTACACAGATAAATGCCCTCAAACTAAGGATTGAAATCCACTGTACATTTTAAATGTGATTCTTCATGGATGCAGATCTATGTGTGGGAGAAGGAAGAGGACAACAGAGGAAGAGCAATGCAGTGGGAGGGGGAGGATGTGGAGGAGGAGGAGGAGCTCAGAGTTAAGAGTAGGGCTTGGGGATATGATCCAGCAATTGCACTACTGGGTATTTACCCCAAAGATACAAAAGTAGGGATCTGAAAGGGTACGTGCACCCCGATGTTTATAGCAGCAA